TGAGGCATCTGATCAAAATCTGCTTTGAGCTTAAAAAAATTATATTTGTAAATATATTTTTCTCTGCAAGGGAGAAGAGCAGCTGAATACTCTGGCAGCTGTTCAGGGGCCCCACTGCTATAAATAGCAGTATTTCAGGGTTGTAAAAGTATTTCAAGGTTGTAAAAGGAAATTAGAGCCAGAGAGCAAAAGGTCACACTGACCAGAATACAATCAAGCTGTAAAAACACAATTAAGAACTGGTAAATAGTGAAATTTATTGTTTAACAGAAGACTCGAGCCATAAGGTTAAAGGTTAAATGGAAGAGGTTGCTCTTAGAAACAGCTGCTGGATAGGGAAAAAGGTTTCTTTATAGAACTTAGGAACTTAGCTTTCACTAAGTTCCTTCTAATTTGAAAAGGCCTTTCCTTCTAAAAATCTATCTATGTTATGTATGAAATATATTGGCTTAAATGTGATTATGCAAAGGATTTAGAAAGTAAGAAATGTTAGATTCTTATGTTAGATTCCTATTATGGTGGGTGAGAATGTGAACTCAAGATCTCTTTAAGATAAAAAAAATTAGAAACCATGCACCATCTGCTTTAGCCATCTGGTTTGCGGTGAATAGGGCAACAGGGGCCAAAGGTTATCTGGTAATTGAGGTGCCTGGTCGAGGTAAATGTAAGATATATGGCTACTTGTCTGCCATTTATGGATACAAGGAAATATAGCTTTTGTCTCCCATAAAAGGGAATAGGAAATGGGTGTATCTTTTATGATTGGTTCTAGCAAACAACCAATAGGAATTTCAACCAGGATGATTGGACAGAGGCAGCCAAAGGAGGAGCAAGGGGGCTGGGCTGAGGAAATATAAGTGCTGGCCATCAGGGCTGGAGTAGGCAGAGCTTTGGTATCCATATACCACTGTGTCTCTCATTTATTTGTCTGACAAATAAATTATTATTTTAATTTCTCTATTGCTGCGTTGAATATTTCATTCCAGCTAAGCGTTAACCACAAGCAGGGTGCTACATTTTATGGTGCCTCTGTGACTCGGATAAGTGGTCTGCTGGAACGCAGCCCCTTCGCCCTAGCGGGCAGGGTACAAGAGGGAGGACCACTGACCGCTTACCCAGCGCGCACTGGAACATTTTTCCAGGGGAACGCAGAAGTCTCGTCTGTCTGATACCCTGCTCACTGGCGGCGACGGACCGGGGGTAACCAGAGAAATAAACAGGGAACCAGCTAAGGGTAAGTGCACAAAGGGGTTGTGGCCCTCCAATTAATTGGGAGGAAGAGAAGTCTTGATCAAACTTCTGCGTCTCAGTAAGGGGGAACTGAGTACGCTAGGTGGTTGGGTACATCAGATGGTGGTCTGGTGGAGGGAAAAGGGAAAGATTGGGAGGTAGAGTGTGGTGAAGTATCCAGCGCATTGTATGTGTGAGAAAGTACAATTTGTAGCTGACCTGAGTGTGGAGTGGGTAGTACTTCGGTTCCTAGTAAGGCGACTTCACTAGGCAAGGATCCCCACGAAGCGTGTGTGTGAGTGACTGAGTGGATACTTCACAGGGCCATACAATGGGAGTTGGAGGTTCAAAGGGGAAAATACACCTCTTGAATGTATGTTAAATAATTTTAAGAAAGCCTTCTCAGGAGCATATGGAGTCAAAATGACGCCAGAGCGCTTGAGAACGTTATGTGAATTAGACTGGCCAAAACAAAATACTGGATGGCCACCTCAGGGAAGTTTTGATATAAATTTAGCAAGCAAACTTTGGTCTAACATCACCAAAGAAACTGGAGGGTGCCCAGAACAATTTTCATATATAGATTCTTGGCTGAGCACATTAAATAATAATCCTCCATGGATAAGGGAATGCAAAGTCCAACAATGCAAATTATTGGCTGTAAAAGCCGAAGCTAGGAAAGGAATCTTGCCAAATAAACTCAAACCCATTTTTGAGGGACCAGAGGAAGAGGTGCTTCCACCTCCACCCTATGCTCCACATCGAGGGAGCCTAATCCAAACACTCCACCAGTTGTAACCCCAAGGCAAGAAAGTGGAAGGAATAATGGGGCTGGAGTCACAGAGCTTGATTCCTTGATAGATTATGATAAATATCTTCAGGAGGCATTGGAGTCCTATAATAAAGCCCAAGCAGAAGTGGTTATTCCACCTGTGAGTCCCAGTAGAACTCCATCTACAGTCTCCTTTAGTGGAACAACTGATTGCCCACCCCAAACCCCTGTACATCCAAGTCCTAGAGAACTATTACAGGAGTTACAGGGAGACTTTGATCGGTCAGTAAGCAATACAGCCAGGCGTATAAAGCTGTTAAAAGAACGCCTTGGGACAAATACTATCCCCTATGATTTGAGGCCCCTAAAGCAAAGCGAAGAGAAAGGTCACGTAGTAGCCCCTCTCAGAAGAGTATTTGATGCACTTGAGGAGCCTGTGCTGGTTAACGGGCAACTCGGACCACGGCCACCTCGAACTTCGACCCTCCAGTACATTCCATTCACAACTACGGATCTGATGAATTGGAAAACACACACCCCGTCTTTCGCAGAAAAACCTCAGGCTATGATGGACTTGGTGACTTCAATAGTAAATACTCATAGTCCTACTTGGACAGATTGCCGCCAGCTCCTGAATACTCTGTTCACCACTGAGGAAAGAAGAGACATAATTGAAAAGGCACAGATATATTTGCGTGAGCAGGCCAGAGTGGGAAATATTCTTAATGTTGACCGTCATCTCCAGGACAATTTTCCCTTGGAGGATCCTAATTGGGATCCAAACAATGCAATTCACCTGGCCAGGCTTACCACCTACCGCCAGACGCTTGTGCAAGGTATCCGCAGGGCATGCCAGAAGCCCACTAATATGACTAAAGTCTCAGAAGTAGAACAGAAACCGAATGAGAGTCCGGGAGACTTTTAGAGAGGCTGCAGGAAGCCTATCGTATATGGACTCCTTTTGACCCTGAAGCCCCTGCAAACAGCAGAATGATTACTGCTACTTTTGTGGCTCAGTGCGCTTCTGACATTCGTAAGAAAATTCAGAAGTCAGAAGGCTGGGAAGGGATGCTGATGAGCCAAATTATGGCCATTGCACGCCGAGTTTATCGGAATAGGGATGAGGCTGAGAAACAAGAGAAGAAGAAGTGGCAGAAGGAAAAGATGGTGATGCTAGCCACAGCAGTGAAGCAAGACTACCGCCCTTTAAATGGAGGGAGAGGGCGGGGAAGGAATCCACCACTGGGAAGGAATCAATGTGCGAATTGCAAGAAGGAGGGTCATTGGAAGCGGGAGTGTCCTGAACCCCTGAGGTTGGAAGAAGTACGCCCAGGCCCAGGCCCAGGCTCCGGCCCAAGAAACCAGGGACGGGGACGGGGAATGATCCGAGATGGAAGATATCAGAGACCTGGACAAGGACGGAGTAGAGACAATTTCATTGGACTGGCAGAGGAGGATTTTACCCAAGACTAGGAACGACCGGACTCCATAAAGTTAGGCTTCCAGGAGCCCACGGTCAAAATTCAATTAGGGAGCCATTTAATAGACTTTATGATAGATACTGGCGCTGAATACTCAGTACTCCCAGAACTATTGCAGAAAAAGGCATCCAAAAGTGTAGTCATTAAAAGTGCCACTGGTCAGTCAGCTAAGAGGTCTTTCCTCCAACCTTTAGAATGCCAGATTGGGGGACATCATTTAACCCATCAGTTTTTGTATATACCTGAGTGTCCAATGCCTCTCTTAGGTAGAGATATGCTGTCCAAATTGCAGGCCCAAATCACCTTCACTCCTCGAGGTCCAGAAATGAAACTGCCATCAAAGGCAGCAGGAATAATTTCCCTCTCAGTACCTAAGGAACAATCATGGCGCCTAATGTCAGCCCTGCAAGTCCAACCCACATTGGATACAGAATTAAACAAGCTCCTCCGAACCCTACAAGTGCCACCAGGAGTATGGGCCGAAAATAGCCCACCAGGAATGGCTAAGAATATAGCTCCAATTGTAGTAACCCTAAAACCTATGGCTACCCCTGTATCTGTAAAGCAATATCCTTTACCCCGGCGAGCAGCAGAGGGCATCCAGAAACATTTGGACCGCCTATTAAAATATGGTCTGCTTAAGCCCTGCCAATCAGAATGGAACACACCCCTTTTGCCTGTTCGGAAGCCTGGGACAGATGAATACAGGCCAGTACAGGACTTGAGGCTCGTAAACCAGGCTATCGAGACCTTGCACCCAAATGTACCAAACCCATATACCTTGCTGAGTTTGATCCCACCAGAAGCAACATTTTTACTGTATTGGACTTGAAAGATGCATTCTTCTGTTGCCGGCTGGCACCACAGAGCCAACCTATATTTGCCTTCCAGTGGGAAGACCCTTTGACAGGAACAAAAGGCCAGCTAACCTGGACAAGATTGCCCCAGGGATTCAAAAATTCCCCAACTTTATTTGGCACTGCCTTGGCGAAGGATCTAACAAGTTACCCCTCAATACCTGGAAAAAGGTGGTTCTGCAATATGTAGATGACCTTATACTAGCGGCAAAGGATTTTGATACCTGTAAAGAAGGGACAGAGGAACTGCTCCACTTGCTCTGGGAAGCTGGCTACCGAGTTTCCCAGAAAAAGGCACAGTTATGTTTAGAAAAGGTCAAATATTTGGGCTTTGACATCTCACACCAACAACGAGCATTGAGACCAGAGAGGAAAGAAGCTATTTGCCTTATCAAGGAACCTACCACAAGGAAACAACTCAGAGGATTCCTGGGAACAGCAGGGTTTTGTAGACTATGGATACCTGATTTCAGCAGTCTGGCCAAGCCCTTACATGAAAGCACTCGAGGTGCAGAAAGGACCCATTCGTATGGGGACCTGAGCAGCAACAAGCCTTTTTAGTTATCAAACAACGACTTATGGAGGCCCCAGCCCTTGGACTGCCTAATTCGGAAAAACCCTTTCAGCTGTATGTACATGAACAGAATGGGATTGCAGCAGCAGTCCTGACCCAGAGATTAGGAAGTTGGAACCGTCCAGTAGCTTATTTGTCAAAACAATTGGACTCAGTAGCAAAGGATGGCCTCCATGCCTAAGGGCAGTAGCGGCCACTGCAAGCCTTGTCAAAGAAGCTGATAAATTTACCTTTGGCCAGACGATGTATGTGAATGTACCTCATGCTGTTCTGACACTCATGGAATATAAGGGTAGTTATTGGCTAACGAATCCAAGGATGGCTAGATACCAAGGCCTATTGTGTGAAAATCCCAGGATTCATCTACGAGTAGTGAATATGCTCAATCCAGCAACTTTGCTGCCCCTACCAGAGGTAGATGATGAAGAATCACATGATTGTCTCCAAATAATGGATGAAGTGTATTCCAGTAGACCCGATCTGAAAGATGAACCATTGAAAAATCCAGATGTTGTATATTATACTGATGGTAGCAGTTACCTGCATGAAGGTGCCAGACGAGCAGGATATGCTGTGGTCACCAATGAGGAAGTTGTGGAAGCTGAAGCTTTGCCTGCTGGCACCTCAGCACAAAAGGCTGAACTTATAGGTTTAACTAGAGCTCTGCAATTGGCAGCCGGATGTAAGGCAAACATCTATACTGATTCTAAATATGCCTTCTTAACCCTGCATGCACATGGAGCTCTATGGAAAGAAAGAGGTCTAATCGGAGCCCATGGGAAGGCCTTGAAATATGGACCTGAAGTAGAAATCCTGTTGGAAGCAGTATGGGCTCCAGAACAGATTGCTGTAATGCACTGCAAAGGTCATGGACGTGGAAGGGATCCAATAACCAGAGGAAATCATGCTGCTGACAAAGCAGCCCGAGAGGCAGCCCAGAAGCCTGTGGGAGGATTTATAGCAGCCCTCATACCAGAGGTAGTTCCAGAAGAAATTAAACCTCACTATACCCCAGAAGAGAGGAAGTGGGCTGAACAGGAAGGAGCGGTTGTGAAGGACGGTTGGATGATCCTGCCGGACAATAGGATTTATGTACCTCATCACCTAGCAGGCACAATTGTAAGAAATTATCATGAATCTACTCACCTTGGCGGTACTGCAACCAGAGAGAGTCTCAGTCGGAAGTTGTATATTATTAACCTATCACAATTAGCAACTTGCATTTCACAGAAATGTGTTCTTTGTGCTAAAAACAATCCCAGGCAGGGACCGGTACAACCTCCTGGAATCCAACATGTGGGATACGTCCCCATGGAAAGCCTAATTGTGGACTTCACAGAGCTGGTCCCTTCTAAGGGATTCAAGTACCTCCTTGTGTTTGTAGATACCCTTACCGGATGGGTTGAAGCTTTTCCCACCAGGACTGAAAAGGCACGAGAGGTAACTAAGAGACTCCTCACTGAATTGATCCCGAGGTTTGGATTACCTAGATGCATTGGAAGTGATAATGGGCCAGCGTTCATTGATCAAGTAGTACAAGAAGTATGTCGAGTCCTACAAGTGAAATGGAGACTGCATGCAGCATATAGGCCTCAAAGTTCGGGGAAACTGAAAGAATGAATCGGACTCTGAAAACCCAATTGGCAAAATTAACCCAGGAAACAGGATTGGGATGGGTAGATGTGTTACCCATAACACTGTTTCGTGTTCGGTGTGCACCCACAAAAAGACTTAAGTTGTCACCTTTTGAGCTCCTGTATGGGAGGCCACCCTCCTTTGTTCAGGATATTCCAGCTGACCTCAAACAAATAGGAGACCATGTGACACAGGGACAAGTGCAATCTCTCTCCCGTGTTTTTGTTTCTCTTAACAGGTGGGCCCTCGAGCGCACGCCGTGCAGCATTGCCGAGCCGATTCATCAGTTCCAGGCTGGCGATAGCGTATGGGTGAAAGAGTGGAAACGTGATCCACTTGCACCTAAGTGGCGTGGGCCTTACACCGTCTTGCTCTCTACTCCAACAGCGGTGAAGGTAGCTGAGGTGACCCCCTGGATTCATCACTCCCGTTTGAAGAAGTCCGAAGGCAGTTGGACGTGCAAAGGTGACCCCTCTAATCCTTTTAAACTGACTCTCTCCAAAAACCCCTGTATCTAGCCCTACGGGGAACGGGCTAGGTCACGGGCAACATTAGACGACCGGCCTGCTGCAGCCACAACCTGGAAGCTGGCTGACCTGCGCACGCCTGAAGCTTGAGGAGCATCTGAACCAGCGATTGTGAACAGGAAGATTCTCTTATACATTTGATTGACTGCCCCCCCCCCTGTGGAACAATTATCAGGGATATTACTCATTGGGGATCCTCGGGATATATGTTTTGGTCTTGGTGGTTCCCCATTTCTGTCATTGGGGGAATTATATTGGGCCTAATATTTTTTGTTATCACAATAAGGTAATCTTTTGTGGAAGAAATGCATATACTAGACATCAACATGATTTTATTATTAATCCTGATCCCTTGGGAAGGGGAAGGGTCCTTGAATCTGACCAAATTTGCTAAATATGGATTCCGCCATGACCACAATATGTGGGTAGGCTTAGCTGAGATGGTAGCCAATGTTACAAATAGGACCAATTGCCTTGTTTGCTCTCTTGGACCAGATGATTCAGAGGGAGGTATGCCCTTATTACCGATACCATTAAATGCCATTGGTATGGTAAGCGAAATGCCACACCAAACAGAAGTACAGAATTTCCCCGGATGGAACTCAACTAAACCAATACGAGTTATACCTGTGCAAGGGGAATTCTGTGTACATAAATTATCAGCTGCAGCTGATTCTATCATGATAGGCTCTTCTCATTGCCACTATACTTGGGATTATATTAAGAATAGTCAAACCTGGGCAAACGGTACTACCTATCGAACTCGGAATACCTTGCCCTGTGCACCTCCTTTTATTCATGCATGGAAACTGGTGTGGAACATAACTGTGACAGAAAAAGGCAATCTAACATACTGCACTGTGAACTCTATGCCCCTTTTGATATTTCGCCTTATGCACTCCACGTACCAAAAACCTCAGACCCGATGGTTGTGGTGGATATGTGGAGAATGGGCATACAAGCAACTCCCTCCCAAATGGAGTGGGACTTGTTTCCTGGGATGGGTATTACCACCAATGTGGATTATGCCCACTAGTTCGGCAAAGCGTACACGAAGAAATGCTGATATTTCTCATATAGCAGGAGGAAGTACCCAAAGTTGGAGTGATACTGATGATTGGCCACCAGAGCGCATTATAGCCTATTATGAGCCTGCCTCCTGGAATCCTGATGAGCTCATACAAGGGGCACGGGATCCTATTTATAATCTAAACAGAATAATTCGATTGCAAGCAGTAGTGGAACTTGTAACCAATGCAACGGCCCAGAGTTTGAGACTTATTGCACAACAGTTGGATGAAAGTAGAGCCGCCATTTTGCAGCTGAAAATGGGAATGGATTATGTACTTGCCAGGCAGGGAGGCCTATGTGGAGTCTTAAACTTGACAGGGAATGCCTGTTGCTTTAACATTTCTGATAATGGTGAGGCAATCCGTGTGTTGGCCACAAAGATGGAGAGTATAGCACATGTCCCAGTACAAATATGGGAAGGATGGGATATGGGATGGCTCACCAATTGGTTACCTAATGTTGCGGGACTCAAAGGGATACTATTGTCTTGCTTGTTTTTCTTGACGGTAGTAGTAATGGTTTTATGTACGGTGCCATGTATCATTTCATGTTTTAGAAGTACAATTAGCAAGATGATTTCAAATGAAACTTTACCTCATATTATGGCCCTATACAGAGCTTTACCTCAGGAATATGACGAAGGTCAAGCTATCAAGGACACTTGGGATGAAGGTCCTTGAGCTTGAAAGGGGGGAATGAGGCATCTGATCAAAATCTGCTTTGAGCTTAAAAAATTATATTTGTAAATATATTTTCTCTCATGCAAGGAGAAGAGCAGCTGAATACTCTGGCAGCTGTTCAGGGGCCCCACTGCTATAAATAGCAGTATTTCAGGGTTGTAAAAGTATTTCAAGGTTGTAAAGGAAATTAGAGCCAGAGAGCAAAAGGTCACACTGACCAGAATACAATCAAGCTGTAAAAACACAATTAAGAACTGGTAAATAGTGAAATTTATTGTTTAACAGAAGACTCGAGCCATAAGGTTAAAGGTTAAATGGAAGAGGTTGCTCTTAGAAACAGCTGCTGGATAGGGAAAAGGTTTCTTTATAGAACTTAGGAACTTAGCTTTCACTAAGTTCCTTCTAATTTGAAAAGGCCTTTCCTTCTAAAAATCTATCTATGTTATGTATGAAATATATTGGCTTAAATGTGATTATGCAAAGGATTTAGAAAGTAAGAAATGTTAGATTCTTATGTTAGATTCCTATTATGGTGGGTGAGAATGTGAACTCAAGATCTCTTTAAGATAAAAAAATTAGAAACCATGCACCATCTGCTTTAGCCATCTGGTTTGCGGTGAATAGGGCAACAGGGGCCAAAGGTTATCTGGTAATTGAGGTGCCTGGTCGAGGTAAATGTAAGATATATGGCTACTTGTCTGCCATTTATGGATACAAGGAAATATAGCTTTTGTCTCCCATAAAAGGGAATAGGAAATGGGTGTATCTTTTATGATTGGTTCTAGCAAACAACCAATAGGAATTTCAACCAGGATGATTGGACAGAGGCAGCCAAAGGAGGAGCAAGGGGGCTGGGCTGAGGAAATATAAGTGCTGGCCATCAGGGCTGGAGTAGGCAGAGCTTTGGTATCCATATACCACTGTGTCTCTCATTTATTTGTCTGACAAATAAATTATTATTTTAATTTCTCTATTGCTGCGTTGAATATTTCATTCCAGCTAAGCGTTAACCACAAGCAGGGTGCTACACAATCTGTGTACAATGAAATTAACCGAGCCTCCCCCCCCCAAAACACTCAATCTCTTTGCACTCTGTGTGCTTGTCGCACAACACACCAACTCCGAAAGTCAGTTGCACTATATTATTATTATAGTGAATTATATACATGTTGTGCACTGTTCTTGGGCTTTCGGAATGCTGTAGGTGATTAAAAAAGAATTTTTCAGACACTCGCTTTTAGATATATGTGGTGAAGCTGAGAAGAGTAGATTAACAATTTACGTTATTTTTCAGGGGTTAAGTTGCAGATTTTATAGGTGGGTTGATACTGTGAATAATTTAACACTGTAGCTTACTTTGTCTTGCACTGTGTAATTTTATTTATTGCTTGTTATTGTGAATTGTACTAGATTTAATTTTTGTGTTTTATGGTTGTTAAATATGTGCTTTGCATTCTCCATTATGTTGCTGTGATGTCATATGTACTCTACGTTTAAAGGAGTATTGTATCACTTTAGCTAGTCTTGGCTTGTCCCAAAGATTCCTGGGAGCTACAATTCTCAGAATTCCTGGGAAGATGAATTTCCCAGGAGCATTTGGGAGAAGCTATGATGATTTAAAGTGGCATGATACTACTTTAAATGTATAGTGCAGATGGGCTCCAAGTTGTTAATCATCCTGCAACCTTGACAAGGGATGTTATATAAAACCATTAAATCTCACTTGTCTCTCTCTGTAAACCTCAGTTTAATTGAGTGTAAGCCAAAATATTAAGTGGTCTACAAGTTAATAACATTTCTAGTGCAGAAAGGAGGAGGAAAGGAAGCAAAATGCAAATGCCATTTCTGAAGGTAGAGTGGTTTCCCTGAGCAAAACAAACTTCAGTTTGGCTTTATTTTCCCACCCTTCCACCGCCGTGGTTGTTGAAAGTCTCAGTGGGAGGCCATGCTGCTGGTCCCAAGACTCATGGCAGTGAGGTGCAGGGCCTTTTTACTGGTGGCACCTTCCCGGGGGAATCTGCCTGCCAAAGAGATTAGTGGGGCAATCCTGACCCTGTTCGGAAAGCAGAACCTTCTAATGTTACAGCCATCATGTCAGAGGTAGCCTTCAGTGAGGAGACTGTGGTTGCCCTCGGGTCATGCTTGTAGGCTTCCCATTGGCAGTGTTAAATAGTGGGTAGACATAGCAGACGACTCAGCGATTCTTCAAACAGCTCTTGTTTATTCACAGGCCAGAACAGAACAGAACTGAAGGGTTCAGCCAGCCTGCTTATATAGAGCTCCAGTACCACTCAACTGTAACAACTTTCTGTAACTATCCAATCACTGAACGTCACTTTCAATCCCTTATTTGCATAGGTGGACCTGAGTGAAAACTATCTACAGTATCCCCCTGCTGACCCAGGGTGAGAACTTCAATACACAACAGGCAGCATCAGGTTGGCATCTTTGAGAACAGGTTTGCCGGACTGCCTGTGGCCTTGATCCAGCAGGGCTGCTCTTACGTTCTTACTTTACGTCTCCTACTGCAGCTAATTGTCCCTGGGGCAATCCTGACTGCTAACAAAGAGGCAAGGTAAACAACGGATAGAGAAATGCAGCCAGCTGCTCTACAACCCGTCGCCAATGCGCACGCTGCAATTTCCGTTGCTTGTCTCCAGTGAAGCTTCAGAATTCTCCAGGGTTGGGAATGATCTGCACGCGAAGCAGAATGCTGTGGTGGTAGCATGGATTGAATCGTTCTGGCTGCAGGTGGAAGGTCACATATTTGAACCTCTTCTTCTCTGTGTTAAACGAAAAATGGAGCAGCAAGCTTTGCAACCTGGTTGTTTGTTTGTTGGGGTTTTCTTCTGTTTTACACAGGGGAGTGTTGAAAAGCAGTATGCCTCAACTGTAGTCTAAATTGGTACAATCCACTCTGCCTCCTCTTTAAGAGCTAGCATCGGAAGTTAGCTTACACGTGGTGGTAGCTTATAGAGAAGTGTTTGGCAGATGAACTGTGCTGTCGCTGTGGTTTCCTCTTTAAGCACCTCTTCTGATTTTATTGCGTTAATGTTCCTGCGGCGGTGTTCCTTTTTTCGCTGTGCGTCTTAGTGTGTGCTGCCTTAAGGATGTGTTTCCCTTCCTTTTTTGCTAACATTATAAACAGTACAGTGGTACCTCGGGTTAAGAACTTAATTCGTTCCGGAGGTCCGTTCTTAACCTGAAACTGTTCTTAACCTGAAGCACCACTTTAGCTAATAGGGCGTCCTGCTGCTGCCGTGCCACCGGAGCACGATTTCTGTTCTCATCCTGAAGCAAAGTTCTTAACCTGGAGCACTATTTCTGGGTTAGCGGAGTCTGTAACCTGAAGCGTATGTAACCTGAAGCGTATGTAACCCGAGGTACCACTGTATAAAGAATAAACTGGCCTTTAGTTTCAAAATGGGGAGTAGCTTCTGGGGTCAGGGAAGAGTGGTGGAAACAGACTGTTTAAAAATTAGGGTGAGTTTTACTCTTCCTTTATCATGCCACTCTGAAAACTGAAATCACTTTGGAAGATGGAAAGATGGGACGAGCTCCCAGAAGCTGACCTTAGATAAACTTCAAACTCTTCCCCAAACTGAAAGAATTAGAAGTTGCGTAATGTTTTGAGCCAATCTGAGCACCTGGAGAATTGACTGCCTCAGTTTCCCCTTCAACAAAAAAAGGGGGGAGGGAGAGGTTAAAATGGCTGTAGGGGCAGAATCCAAGGAGGGAATGAACCCACTCCATGGGGATGGAGACCCCAAACCTCAAACTTGGGTTGAGATCCAGCATAGAGGAGGGTTTGGGAACTTGTTAAAACGCCTGAGTTTTGGGGTGTGTGTTAAGAGGCCGCTGAATTTTTCATCCAAGCGTAGGCAGACCTCACTAACTTCCTGAGTTTTATGTGACTATAAGGTAGGTAAGGAGGATGATTTTATTTATTGAATTTATATACCACCCTATACCCACGCGGGTGGCGCTGTGGGTTAAACCACAGAGCCTAGGGCTTGCCGATCAGTCTGGTTGACGGTTTGAATCCCCACGACGGGGTGAGCTCCCGTTGCTCGGTCCCAGCTCCTGCCAACCTAGCAGTTCGAAAGCACGTCAAAGTGCAAGTAGATAAATAGGTACCACTGCGGCGGGAAGGTAAACGGCGTTTCCATGCGCTGCTCTGGTTCGCCAGAAGTGGCTTAGTTATGCTGGCCGCATGACCCGGAAGCTGTACGTCGGCTCCCTCGGCCAATAAAGCGAGATGAGCGCCGCAACCCCAGAGTTGGTCACGACTGGACCTAATGGTCAGGGGTCCCTTTGCCTTTACCTTATACCCATAGATAGACTTTTGAAGGCTACAGTGGTACCTCAGGTTAAGTACTTAATTCATTCCGGAGGTCCGTTCGTAACCTGAAACTGTTCTTAACCTGAAGCACCACTTTATCTAATGGCGCCTTCTGCTGCTGCTGCGTCGCCAGAGCACGATTTCTGTTCTCATCCTGAAGCAAAGTTCTTAACCTGAGGTACTATTTCTGGGTTAGCGGAGTCTGTAACCTGAAGCGTATGTAACCTGAAGCGTATGTAACCTGAAGTGTATGTATCCCGAGGTACTATCAGTGCCTACTAGACATGGTGACTATGCTCTACCTCTGCCGTCAGAGACAATGCGCTTCTGAATATCTGGGAATCGCAGATGGGCAAGAGTGCTGTTGCACCCAAGTGCTGTTTGTGAGAAGACAGTGGGATTAGATGGAGCCTTTTGCCTGATCCGGCCAGGTTGCTCTTAGGTTCTTCTTATGCAATTGACAGAAAGCTCTGCTGAGGTCCAGCTGTGAGGAGAAGACGCCTCTCGCTGTGCTACTGTCACCGATTGCTTAAAAATGCAGGTGACATGATCCACACACCCCAAAGCCATTGGAAGTTCTCCGCTCCTCTATCGCACGTTCACCCCTGCAGCTGTGCTGTGAAACTTCTCTGTAGAATGCTCAACGCAGAAAGTTCTCTTTCTAAAAACATAATCTTTATTAAATTTTCTGTTTTACAATTTAAAATATTCATTTAAACAACCTCAAAATATCAATCACTTCCCCTCTTCCTTTCCCTTGGTTCATTTTGTGTAACATAAATCCCTGCATATTTTACATAAAATAAACCGTTCAGTATTCCTCTATTACATCCACTCAAACTTATTTACACTGTTGAATTTATCTTAATGCTGCCCACATTTTCAAATGTACACAATTTCCCACCATATATTCAATCTTCTTTAAACGTATGTTGTTGTTCTTCTCTTATTCTATGAGTTAGGTCCACAAGCTGTGCATATTCCAACACAGAAAATTCCCAATCCTTTCCTCACAGATACATCCATTCACAGCATCACATGCCTTGCACAATCACTATCTTCTTTAAGGTGCCAGGCAGTTGTTTTTTTCCTTTTTTTAAAACCCTTAATCTGGAGGGTTTGGGCAAATCTGTGACCTCTTTTCAGTGGGGGAGCTGTGTGAGATCTGCCTTTAGTATGAATGGATGTGTGCTTAGGTTTGCATTTTGTATAACTTGGATACTGGTTATAACCTTTGTACTGTTTCATGTGATGGCGCATTGGGTTGTTTCCTGTAAATAAGTGCAATAAATAATACTAACCACATATGAATGCTTTTTGCACATTAACCCAAACTGCACATATATAATTGTACACATAAGGTGGCACTAAACTCTCTGTTACTCAGAAAAGTCCCAATAAAATTAATGTGCATGACTAAGGTCTGATAATTTCAGGAGGTCTGCTCTGACTAAACTTTAGTTGAATGCAACCCATAGAGTTCAGTCACACAGACCACTGAAAACACTTGAAGTATAGCATAAATCAGAAAAATTTAATCTGACGTGTTTACACTGGGAAGATCATTTGGTGGCCTAGGACCAGCCTAACTGTTATGTACTGAGCTGAATCCTAGAACAATAGGATCCA